CATCACTTAAGAGGATTAGGCAACAACAGGCAGGTTATTACTGCTTAAAGCTCATATACTGAACATGCTTCTTCATAACCTTTTAAGCTTCTATGGATCCTTCTTTTCAAGGAAAACAGCTACATGGCTTATTGGAAGTTCCACTCAAAAATGCAGTCTTTTATTACGTCGTATCACAATGGTAATATATAACCTATCAAGGAGGACAAAATTTGAAGTGCACTGCATGAAACAATCTAGTTCTCCCATCTATCTCCCATATTTATCAACTTCCACATTCTCATTATGCATAAGAAAACATACTTGTCAATTAAGATATCTTAAATACTACTTCTGTATTATTCTTCTACCACTGTGAGCAAACGTTACTGAGCTGAAAGGAATGACAGGTCACTTACCATGGAACTGCAAACCCTCTTCAGAATTTCTCTGCCAGAAACACTAAGGCACCTTTTAGGACAAAGAATTAAGAATTTTACCTATGTAATTAAACTGATTTATACTGATCTGAAACAATGTGCTTGTTCATCCCTTCGTTAATACTGGCCAAGCAGTGTAATGTACACTAACAGTTCACAACACACACTGCTTATCATGCAGGGAGGATGCAGTTTTAGACCGCCCAAAACATCCAATGAAAAGTCTGCCCTGCTGGCAAACTTCATGGAAGATGATTTTCTACAAAAGCTTGTGTTATTACAGTGGAAGCTTTCAATTTCCTGTGAAGAAATAAAAGTAGCCTTATTTTAAGATGAATACTGCTCACATCAGCTTTGGCTGACTACCCTTGTCCTGTACTGCAGGAAACAAGCCACACAACAGACTCCCATTCATAAAATAAATCCTAGTGATGCAAATTTTGATCTTTGTGTCATATCTCTTTTCCAATCAGAAAGATCCTTAGAGAAGATAAGACTTAGGATTGTTTAAAATATTTTTTAAAATAAATGTCAATAGGCAATTTTAGAGATTCTTTTGATCTAATTTCATTATCCCATTTTGAACTACTATCAGTCCCTTATAGTTTCCAGATCAAGACTAAAATTCTGTTTATTTGATACATTACTTTATCAGACTATCTTCTCCAGCAAGCACTACCTTTTTAAAAACTATGAAAACATCCATAAAAGACATGAAACTGAATATTGTGCAATGTTCAGATCCTTACAGTAAGATTTCTTCTGACAAAGCCTCCAAAACGTTCAGTGTTTTAAGTGTTTTCCCCAAGCACCACACTCCCCTTTCCTAACTAAAACATTAATACACGTCACGCCTTTACCAAAGAAATTCTGATTCTACACAATGTTAAATGTTTTAGGGTACAACCATCTACAACAATTATTTAGACAGGGGTGGGGGTGGTGTTGGCAGGGTGTCTCTTTGCTTGTTCATTCCAAATGAATAGTGTTTCACGGCAATTAAAAGCTAGTACAGGAGAATTCCTACCTTTCCAAGGAAGTTTTACCAGCAAATAGATCTCAAATGCTCTCATGAGACTGTTACACTGAACGCAGGGCATGCTACCTTGCCATTAACAGCCTGTTTTGAGAAGTGGATCTGGTTAAGTCTAAATATTGTTCAGGGAAGGAGAAGAAAAAGACTTTCGTCTTCACTTCACCTCCAGTACCTACTGTCAAAGTAAAATGATTAAAAACGAGACTGTCACCCACATAATGTTATTTAACTTGAGGGTAAAGCTATATTTAGACAATAGGAACAGCTTAACAATTAGTTCTTGAATGACTTTTTAATTATTATTAAAGAGTTCTGCATTCCCTTAATCTTTGAAATGTATCTTCGTATTCTACTGCATAGGCACTGGCAGAAGAGAATACAAAAGCTAGGTTTTACCCTTTAAACACTATAGAATTTGGGGATGGGGGAAGGCAAATTTCTGCCTCTCCTGTGTTTCCATACCCCTTGGCTTTTCCTAGTTTAGGAATCTGTATTATTACCTCAAAATAAATATTTAAATGGTCAAAAAGTACCAAAACTAGGTTTGACTTGAAGGTTACCTTGTTGTCCTCAAGAGCAATAGAGCAAGAAATAAGAAATGGTACTCTTTATCAGATTTTTACTGCTAATGAAAAAAATGCAGTCAGAAAATACAGCTTGCAGTCCATGGCACCACTGACATTTTGTGGAGGTAAGGGGAAATGAGTCTTTCATGTCAGATACAAACAAGAACCAGATTAGTAACTTTGAAAATTACACAGAGAAGTTCAATTACTGTTTAAAGCAAAACACCATTAAGGAAAAAAAAAAAAAAGAGAACTGATTGCAGACTAGGTAAAATTCACAGGAAATTTGCTTCAGCTGCACACTGCTTACAAGTACTGAATGCATAGCCGAGGAGTACACCTGCCCCGCACTGCAGCTGGTGACACATTTACTACAGATGTCCGGTATTCCTTCATCCCTCTCACCACCAGAACGGTGGGAAAACTCAGCTTTCCCCAGTCCCAACCCTCAGAAAACTACTACCGCCCTGCATATCTGCTTTCTAGATCTGATAAAAAGGCTAAAAAAATAAGTTACCCGTTTTGCTCATACTTGAACCTCTTCCTTAGGTTTGGTGCTAATTTGGGGTTCTGCTCTTTACCAGAGCACACAGGAATTTAGTGACAGGTAACACTAAATTTTTGTTAAACTTAGCTGAATTTGAATCGACAGGTTAAACAAGCACACAAAACTGAGGGCAAGGTTTATGATGACACTGTTTATCACTTTCTTAAAAACAGCACTATTTTTAGTTTGATCTCCTAAGGGTTTTTTCTTCGTTAGTATATTCCATGCAGGCATGCGTGATCTCTGCCCATCCTAAGCCCTCAAGTTAAAAGTCCTAAAGCCATTATGATTATGTACAAAGTAACTCACTTTATAAAAGCTCATTAGTATCAGCAACAACAGTAATACAATAATATTCACCAATAAGCATCCTGTATCATATAGATTTATATAGCACTGCTACAGAAACAGAGCATTTCTATCAAGTTCTGGGTGTCAATATAGTGGAAAATAAAAATTTTTCTGAATTGTTGGCGGGCGGGGGGAAAAAGGGCATTGAGCCATTCAGTTGTTCCTAACCAAGATTTTCTTCGTGTAACAAAATACATTTTCACTCAGAATTAAATTTTCCAGTTTTTTTACAATTTTAGTATATAGCTCTAGCAGGTTGTTTTTTTTTTTAAACCATGTAATTCAGTTTTTAGTTATTATTTTAAACACAATATATAGTCTGTAGATCAGATAGAAAACTATTTGTCAAGAATTAATTGCAAAGTAAATTATATTTCCACTGACAGCTCACAGGGCTATTTTTTTTGCCACTTTTTCAAAAGGTTTTATTTAAACATACACACAGAGAGCACATTATGACATTGCTGTTGTATGTAAAAATAAGCAAGCAACCCTTAACTGACAAAGCTGGTGACTCACATATGGATAGGTGAAAAAAGGATTAAACAAACTCTCAACAGGCCATTTGTTTGAATAAGTGTTCTGAGATATTAAGGCGCTTAAAAATCTGCTCATCTTCACCTAAAACGTAAGGTCAGTTCCTAACATCAGCACCTACAGTAAGTCCCACTGTGAACTAGAATGAAAAATGGCACAAAACATGCAACTAGAATGAAACATGGCACAAAAGCATTAAATACATCACGTGAACTCAGAATTCAGGATAAAGGATCTTCCTGAACTTGGCTCGCAGCACTCTGAACAAACAGCAGTGCAGGGACTTCGTGCAGGGATTTGGAATTTGAAAGTTCAGAACTTCAGAACTAAGAAAATTAGAACTAAGAATTTTAGAACTAAGAAACTTCAGAAATTCAGAACTCAGAACTAAGATTTTTGTGGTTGGCATGCTTTTGCAAAATCTAGAAGTTACAAATTCTGAAAGTTTTTAGACAAGTTACTCTGAAGCAGGTAATTACGGGATTTTATCCAGCCTTCTTAGAATAACTTTCCAATGTAATGTTTTGATCCTGCAGATTAATACTTCATAGAGAATATGAAATGCTGTTCTGGAACAAATCTGTAAGATAGTGCAGATACAACATTAAGATGCTGCCAGATTAACACTGGGGGAAACTTTAAGTAGTTTAGCTTTAAGTGGGCTACTAAACTAAACTCCATTAACAACAATGAAAAAAACCAAAGACTCAAGACTGTCCCCTAAACCAAAGTTTAAAAAAAAAACAACAAACAAAAACAAACAAAAAAACCAAAGCAAACCCAAAACTAACCACACAAAACCTAAAAAGACCAAAACCAAAGAAACTCACATTTCCCTATGTAATCTTATTTTAGAACAGCAGAATGACTTTTTATGTCTTTTGTGCTCTTTGGCAGGGAATCTATGAAACCAAAACATGTCCTGACAAACTGAACCCTTCCTGAGAAGGGTTCATAGTTATGAACTCATTTATAACGTGTTGTGTGGGAGATGGCAAGTCAAAGCAGTCTGAAAGTCAACAGCATGGAATGTACCGACAGATTTATGAAGAATGACAGCAGCAGTTATTTACATGTTCAGGGCAGTTAATTGTTCCTTATGAATTTGGTTTCTCATGTATAAATTAAAAAAATACAAAAAGTCAAGATCCGGAGAAATCCTCATCGTCTTTAAGCGTTCAAGTAAAAAGATGTTTGCAGCACTTTCCTTAGACAATAGCGTATTGCTCGTATAAAAGGTCTCTTATCCTATAGAAGTCCTGACAGAGATAGCCTTCCAATCCAATGCGCCCTGTTTCAGTCTGAAACAAAAGACAGGTTTCAATTTATTATCTTTACGCTAATGAGAAAACATTCATTTAGAACATTATTTAGCAAAGACATTAAGACACAGAATACCTACCCTGCGAACAGCCACCAGATTGTTGCACACGAGCACGCCTCCTACAAATTCAGCTTGTATACCTTCTCGCAAGAGAACTTGCTTGAAGTCAGACAGTCTTGGCTCATTCATAAACACAGACTGATGTCCGAGAACCTTTAAAACACAAAAAATTTTAATACCTCTGCTACTTCATACCTTCCATTTTTCCTAAGAGCTCATCATCGTTGCATTGGCAGCAGCGTGGCCTAGACTACAGGACTGTGAATGAGATGATTGGTTCTATTTCTGTTCACCTACAGCAAGACGTTTCCAGAATAGACAGGCCTTGGAAGTTATCCGTGGAGTAAAGGGTAAGTTTCCTATTTTGCTCACATATTGAAGACAAATGGAAAGCTGTCATTGAAGGTCCCTCTTCCAAGCTATGTTATGGCAGGGACAGAGCTTCAATAAGCTGTACTAGTGATCAGGACATACTTCTATGACAGTTGTCATGAATCTGAACAGACTTTAAAGTTGTCTCCACATTTATCTAGCTCCTAGAACAGACTACATTCAGAACTGTGCAAAAGTATCTTAAAAAGCAATTCCAGGATTAGGAGGCATTATAATCATTCACTGAAAAGCTAAAATAATATCTACTACATGCAAAATATTTGAAGAGTAAAGATAAATTTATAGAAAAGATTAAATTAATGAACTCTTAAATCACTACTATAGTAGCAGAGATACTTGAGATACAGATCTTTGAAATTCATGTATATGAAGTATTTTCCATAGCTTTAACAAAACATAATAAAAATCAAAGAGTGACTAAATGCCAAACGACTTCCAAATCTGCCAAGTATTAACTACAAATATGCAAATTAAAATATTTTCATCATAAATAAATGGTAACTGTATACCAGGCACTGTTGGTGGATGCAAGAGATCATCCTTGCTGAAAAGCGTAACATCTGAACAAAGAACAGTACCAGGTTTAATAAAGAAAACCAAACATGAAAATAGAGTTTTGGTTAGGCTTTCATTTGAGTAAGATCACAGCATCAACCTCTATGCACTAGAAAAAGACAGAGCACTTCAAAAAGTCCAGATCAGCACAATTTCTGTACCTCATGAGGTGGCAGAGGTTCCAAAGTAGGAATGATCTCGCTCTCCTCACACATCTCCTTGTCATCATCACCGAAGAGGCTTTTGATGGCCTTCTGTTGTGCAATGACACTAGAGTCTGAAGAAGGTATATCCACTTGCATCTCTAAGTCTTCTTCTTCCCTCAGCTCTCCCTCTTCCAAAATAACTCCAGTATCCACTTTTGAAACCCGCATGTCCAGGACACCATCTATCCAAGCCAACTCGGCATCCTTGGCTTTGCAGAACTGAAGGGAGCTGACAAGAGAATCTTTTAACCTGACCTGGGTTGCACAAAAATAAAAGTACTATTAGTTTGATGGAAAACACAGAGTTCTTACATCAAGTTTTAAACACCAGCAGTTTTCCTTTTACTGGCTCCCACATAGGTTTGATTCGTACCCTTTTGGGGATGTGAAGGAGGGAATTGGTATCATCAAGGCAGGACGTTCTATACTTCCAAAATATAATTTGTATAACCCTCATGTCACTACTCAACTTGAAAAGCAGCACGGATCAACACCCTTTCTGTCTTGGTTACAATAAAAAAAAAAAGAACCTACATGACTGCAAATTTCAGTTAAACTTCCATCAAGAGCAATCCACTCCTTTCAAAGCATCAGGAACCTTTTTTGCGGCCAAGAAGTTCCTCCGTTGGCCTTCGTAAATTAAGAAAAGCTTTTATAGATACACTTAGGTTACTAAACAGCAGTTCCAAATTTCAACCCTCAAAAAAATAATGAATATTATATTGTAAGACAGGATGTTGTAAACATATGACTTTCAAGTGACCAAAACATTACCTTACCCTGATTGCAATAGTGCATTCCAGGACTTTACGCCCTACTCTAAAAGACTGCTACCCACATGAGACTCTGCATGATCCCCACGGCAGCATCAAGGCTGCAACAGTATGGAGGACACTGCAACTACCTATCCACCTGCAGCACAGTCCACTCAAAAGACACTGGGATTCTGATGGCCCACTCACATCTTTTATTTTCTAATTCAGTGTCTCCAGTGTACTTCATCTGTTCAGAAAGCTTCTAACAGAAAAACAAACTAAAGCTATGCAGAACATTATTTTTTAACAAAGGGGAAATATGAAGCAATTATGATTTTATTCATATAAATATTTTGTGAAAAATCACAATTGTGTCATTTCTTATAAACTAGCAACCCTCACAGTTTAAAAATAACCAAAAAACCCCACCAAAACCAACCAACCAAACACAAAACACTGCTGTTCTAAGGCTGTCAGAACTGGACAGTTTCGAACAACTGGAACTTTCCACTTCTACAGAGTAACAGATTTTTGTATGGCAAGAAGCAGAAGTATCTTTTTCAACAATTCTACTGATATTTTGCTATTGACTTTAAAAGGACATAAGGAATAAAGGACTAATGCCTAGACTGCATGTGAGAGACATTCCTCTAAACAACTTGAAAAGTTGAATCAGGAGCAAACATAATTTTTACGTGCTTCACACAAAGTTCTCCTATTTAGAGCTGAACCATGAAAATTAAATGCAATATAATAACACAACACAACATATTATCGTAACCTCACTTTTCAAGAACCACCAAATTAACTTCTGCCGGGGGGTGGGGGTGTGTCTAGGGATGTCTTATTTATTTAATATTAACTTGCTCCTACCTGTACATGTCCATTCTTAAGTACTATTTAGGTACGAAGGATTTTTTTCCCCTCTTTGCTCTCTAAGGCTCCCCTTCAGATTCCAAAAAGAATCCTGAATTGCAAGTAGTGTACAGTGCTACTCTAAATACAGGCATTATCAATCTATTAAGACTTGAGTAAAGCAAACTGGTGTTCCCATGGACACAAACTGTCTCTCTTGCACTACAGGTAAAACCACACTGATCTCATGTTTAAGCCTTTAAACACTTCTTATGAATACTAAGCATAAAGAGAATGCTTATCTAGAAGACAAAAAAATGCTACTTGATCACACAAAACCAAGTATACACAGAGGTAGTATCATCTCTCCCCTCCCAAAGGACAGAGGGCCAAATTAAAGTCTGCTCATAAAGCTCCACTACTGTTCACACAGTTAACACAACTAACAAATTCCAGCACCTTACCTGGTAAATGTGAGTTTCGCTGGTTGCATCTACAGTTTCATGCAGTTTTGGCACATAAACTTTAATGTCTTTTCCACCAAAAGCTCTGCAACATTCTGCAAGGTCCTGACTGGCCTCAGGTGGTCCATGGACAATGACCAGTTGTCTTGGTTTCATTTGATTAATGATTTTTTTAATTGAGTCCCCATCTGAGCGTCCTTCATAGTCAATGTATGTAACTCTGGCTCTAGGTTGAATTAAAAACCAAAGAATAACTTTTTTTTTAGTTCAAAAGATTAAACCTTTGCGTGCTCCAAAATATTTTATTTAAAACAGAATTTTTGAAATTATTTCACATTAGGAAAAGCTGTCAGCACAAGGTATATTATGGATCAGTAAAATACCGAATTGTGACCTATCAACATGTATGCGTATTCAACACTTCAGATTCCCAAAATTCACTTAATGTAGTTATCCAAACCATGAGACAAGCATATTTGAGTAAGTTCTTCTTTTAACAATATACACATTTGAGTATCTATGCTAACAGACTATCGTATCGCTCATGCTTCCTCTTTCACTTCTCTCCATCAGACAGGAAACAAACTGTGAATTTATTAAGAGTGGGAACCATAAGACTCTGTACCATACGCCCACCACAACTAGTAAAAATGAACTTTGATAGCCTGGAAGACAAAAAAAAAAAACACAAACCAAACTAAACAGCAAATCCTTTTCCACTTTCTTAATTTCAAGCTCGCCTTTTACCAAATTTGCCCCATACCCACACCACCATTCTAGCAAAACCGACAAGAACAAAGCCACTCACTTAATTTCCATGGATTCTGTTGCAGAAATACATTTGGTAGGAACATCTGATAAATCCTGGTCCATAGGCTCTTCTCCATTTGTCAAACCAGATTCTAATTTGCTTTTTTCTTCTTCTGTTGCTTGAAGTTCTGGAACTAGAAAATCCTCAGGTCTGAAGAATGAAAGGCATTTTGCTTTTAAGTCGTACAGTAAAACCAAAGAACTACATAATGTAACAACAAACAATGCTGACTATTACTACTGAGATGTTTTATAATTGTTATTGCCAACAATTTTATTACAAATAGCACCTTCCTAACCTAAAAAACTTTGATATCTTGGGAAATACTAACAAATTGAGGTTTTCTAGCAAGTATTCCTTCTGCAAATAGGACAAATATTGCTAGATTTTTCTAGGATGAACAATGCTTCCCCCTCATTATAACTTTGTCAACATTACGGGTAATTTAAAGCAGGAAACAAGTCAGATTAAAAAAATTGAATAATCTGTCTTAAGATAAAAGCAAAAAAAGTGGGAACACATCCTAAGAGGTATGAACACAGGTCAAGGATTAGCACTCTGCAGCTTCAAATCCTACCATAAGCTTCCCATGAGACTTTGTGCAAACTGTCCTAACTGTTCAAAAGTTACTGCAGTTGGAGGAGTATGCAAGTGTAGCAAAAGAGACAAAATGATGATTTTTATTACTTCCATTTTTTAATTATTTCATAGCTACTACATGTTAGACTGCATTACCACCACATACTTGATAATCTCGCCATATTCATCCCATTTAATTCTTTCTTCAGGGGCTGGAAACATGGGATAAGATTTCTTTGCCTGTTTGAAGAAGCTTCCTTTCCGGTTACCTTCACCTTTCATCATCAAATCATGTTTGGTCTTATGTACAGTTGGCTGATCAATATCCTCTTCAGCATCACTCTCGTCACTAGAATCAATATCTGCCCTGAAATGACATTTCAAAAAAACTAGCACTTTCTTTTTTTCTTCAGGTTTAATATTACATAAACACACTGACTAGAAAATAACAGTTGAGAGAACAGTAACCAAGGACAAGGGCAGTTTGTGTGTCTGAGAAAGAGCTCACAGTCAAATGGCAGATGAAGCAGGTCTATCATAACAACAGCTTGAAGACAAACATTTCCGACTGCTCGGTGCCCTCAGACAAATCTATTAAAATTGCAATTTTCATTTATCCCTGTAAACAGTTGAAGCAGCAGAATGACCACACGGAAATCTCAACCCTGACCTTAGCAGCAGAGCGCACCAACAACCAATATACTCACTCTTTAGACTGTTCTAACTTCTTGGCTGCTTCTTTCTTTAGTTTCTCCTTTTCTAGGTATTCTTCAAGTTCTTTTCCTTCCAACTTGACACGTTTTCTCAACTGCAGATAAAATTAATATTATTGTGAGTCGTTGACATGATTTTAATACTTGTCCTACACACTGCTGACAAGAATATTTGTAAGTAAGCACCAAGGGCAAGTACAACTTGTATGTCACGTACCAGACAAGATTATACAAACGCGTGGTACCTTGGCATGGCAACATTGTGATGTTATCAATTAGTAGAGTCTAACAGAAAAGCATTTCTGCAAGTATTAAAATCAATTAGCTCTACAAAAATTTCTCATAGCATCTTCAGGAAACATCTCTCTAATAGCTGGATGCAAATACTCTGAGATGAGCAGTGTCTTTTTTAATTCTTGTGTCAATACCATCTGTAGGATAATCACTGGAGGTAATTCAAAAATTTAAACTCGTATTAAAAATATAGCATTGTTCGCATATTAAGGAAAGCTATTGAGGAGGCCTCCAGGGTGGTGTGCAGCTGATACGCATGGCATCCCTTCCACAATGGTTCCCTAAGCAACACAACCTCCCACCTGGGAAGGCACACGGAGCGTGGGATGGAGTGGAGATTCCGTAGTCAGACTCCATGAAAAACAGGTGCAGAAATGGGAACTTACTGATACTTGGGACACTGACAAGCTGTACTTTCGCTACCCCAAGCCAATAGTCTGCCATCCTTTTGATGAACTGCTGTCCTTGTGCGAACTTTGCTCATCATAATGTCATTATAATACCAAAACACACCTCCATCCCGAAGGCTACCCGCCTCAAAGGTGAGACCACCCCTCACTGAGCATCTGCTCTGAATTTTAGGTAACTTATACCTTTAAACCGAAGCGAGAAAACTTTACACCAATCCTAAACAAAGGTATGTATGACTATGCCCACTCAAGCTCCACCTTGAAGGTAAAAAACAATATAAAAGTAGCTTAAGAAAAGGGGGGTGTTAGGGAAGACATCATCATGGACAAGTAAGGACCTCTGACTTCTGGGATCGGTTGACAGGCTGAGCCTTTCTTCCCTCCCATTGGGACACCTTTGGGTAAGATCTGAAACTTAGGAATCTCTATAGAGTTGCTCTTTTAATTTAGCGCTTCAGTAATTTTTAATCTTAACATCTGTGTTTACACACCCTGCAGACAGTGTATTCATCACCAGTAATCCACAAAGAACCTGTACTGTTGCTTTAAATAAACTGCACTGTTTCACTTATCCAGTCGCACCGTTTCTCACTGGGCACTGTGTCAGCTCACAGATAGTGGCCGGACGGGAATACAACACACTGCTGAGTGAATCCGAGATACCGGACTCACAGTGTCCAATTGGGCATTATTCAGGATTTAAACCTAGCCGCCCCCAGCCCCTCTGATATCTGAGGATAAGCTGGAAAGCAAGGAGGTTTATCTCCTGCCAAATTACTACTCTTAACACAACACCATCAAATCACAAGAACTTGGTAAAGTCACACTAGTTTGCAAATCAACAATAAGTTTTGATCCTTGTTTTCTGAAAATCAAATCAGAGCACAGGTCACTTGAATAATACTGAATTCTAGTAATAGTCTAAACACCGTAATTCAATGCTTCCAATCCAAAACTAAAATAAAGCTGCATCGTTAGGACTGAAATTATCACTGCAATCACAGGGGACTCCCATAAATTAACAGTGTTTACCAGAAAGAAGTAGACACAGGTATATAAATTATTGAAAATAATTTGAAAGCATGACTAACGATTAACTGTGTCCTTCTAATTCCTGGTGTTCACTTATCTTTCTAATTCTGGTGGGACACATTACACCAATTTGACTTGATTCTCCACTCATCCAAAATCACAGTGTTTTCCAGCAAGAATAATCTACCTCTATCGTGATCTATACACCAACTACATGTAGAATTTTTTCTATCATAACAAAAAAACCCAAATAAAAGTGTTGTCTAAAGATAAGTATTTACAAGCAATTTCATGTTTATCTCTATGGAGTATTAATTTTGGCACACCACCAGACAGCATTTTGCAGCTCCTAACATAAGACCTATGTTTATGTAAGTTTATCTGCAATTGGTTAAATGTGCAACATACTGATTTCACACTTCCCTGTGTCACTAGAAGCGTTTTCAGGAGATCAAAAAGGAAACTAAATTCAGTTTTGCTCATACTCCCCCAAATGGCCCCAAACAAACAAAAAACCACACTTCAGAGATATATAGACGATTCTTACCTCAATATCTATAACTTTTTCAGAAGGATTATCAATCAGGAAGCGCGCTAATGTTCCAGGTGTAGTGCGGTAAGTTAAAATTATAGAGTTTTTGGAATCCTGGCACCACTGAATGAAAAGATCTCTAGAAAATCCACACTCTAAGTCAGGTTGACTGGCAAGAACGACTTTTGGACTAGGCACTCGAGCCAGATCAGACAGACTATGACATAAGGAGAGATGGCGGAACTGAAAAGGATTGTTTCTCTTGTCTTCAAAGCACCTCATCAACTTGTCACTCATCCATTCAACCTAAAATATGTATTATGAAAAAGTTACCTATAAGAATACAAGTTCTACAATAATAAAGTACAGACCTGATATGAAGTACAAAACGCAGTATGTACATGACTGCATCATTGTTTCTCAGCAGGTGTAGAAATAATGCTGAGTGTAAGCAACACAGAAACAAGCACTTTAAGTGCCCTTTTTAAAAGCTACCTAAAGTATGCTAATAAGTCTTGTGATAAAACCAGAAATTAGTATCAAGAAACATGCCCATAGCCATGACTTGACCCTGTGTTACCTGATCAAAACATGAGACACAAACACGCGCTATAGAATAAGGACAACACCCAGTATTAAGCCATTTTTAACTGTTAAAAAAAAACCCAAAATGTTGTTGTGTACATGTACCACTACCCTCCTCATGACTGCACTTCAAAATCAAAACAAACCTGTGATTTAGAGAACTCCACTACATTGTAGCTGACGTTATTCAAAAGTGCTAGAGAGTAGACTCCTAATCCTGCATCTTTTGTTCTCCAGATCTGATCAAGAAGTTGAGCAAGTTCCAGAACTCTGCCTGCTGTATCCACGGCTATTAATACGTTTCCATCACCACGTAATGTCTCCAAAACATTAGCTGAGAAGAAATAAAAACAAAACAAAAACAGACTATATTTTGAACCAAAATTAGAATGCTTGTGACTTGGGGTTTTTTTGTTTATGTTATATCACACTAGCAATCATAATCAAAGGCGAAGCGAGCACAGAAATAAATTAACCTTCGAAAGAGATCCAAAGCCACATTTCCACCAAAGTTAAAGGGAGCTGGAGTTTTCTGGGTAGCTCTGAAGATCTCACTGCCTTGATACCATTTCTTTTCTTTATTTTTCTTTTTTATTTAAAAAAAAAAGGAAAAAACAACCATACACAAAAAACCCAGTAAAATGGGAGTTTAAAAACAATAATGTGTTGAGGAAGGCCATTTAAAAATCTCTTAAGAATATATTAATAGACACTGGGTAAAATACAGTTTTCAAACATGGTTCATTATTTTCAGGAAAATGTTTAACCTACAGGATCAGTACCATCAGAAAAGAGTAATTCAAAATCCGTTAAATTTTAATAATGGTTTAGTTTGGATGCTGGTGAATTTCTCCTAGAAAAACAATTTACAGTGGCTAGTTAGTCACTTTACTGCTGTTTTCAAGCCCAAACAGAATACATACTCAGCAGCTGTTCATCCCTTTGCTTCCTCCTCGGTTGTATGTAAGTAGCATTAAATGAATCTGTAATAAGCAACGAAGGTCTGCTCAACATTTCCAAGGAACATCCATTCAGATGGCTGTGGAAAAAAGGCAAAATCTGACTTTCTGCATTTTTCTTATGAGGAAAAAATAAGACCGCTAGTTGCCAGATGCTTGCATGTACAGAAATCAAACTGCTCAGTAGCTGAATGTTTCTGGCTTCAAACTTACAAATAACCAGAACCGAGTGGAATGAAGAAACTCAGAGCTAATACCTGTTTCAAATTGATTAACCTGAATCAAGTCAAATTAGTGGTCTTATTAGAGCTGGAAAGGCACTGCTACTTCCACACCTGTTTAACAGACACTAAATGATGCACACCTAACACTACATCCAAGAAATACATTTTACTATACTGAACTTACATCTCCCTCTTGTGGTTGAAATCAACTGCATAAACGATTTCTTCCTCTCCGTCCTTGACAATCTTCCAAATTGTGCCTCCTATCATATGGCCAGCTGGCAGTGGTGTGATTGACAAACCATGTCCTTTGCCTGCAAAAGTTTGCAATAGTTCAGGTACATGATATGTTAAAATCCATAACGCTGAATAAGACAGAATAATTTTAAACAGCTGAAAACCTAAATCATTACTGGGTAAAAAAAAAAAAAAAAAAATTACATGAAAAATAAGTAACATCTGTCCTTCCCATCTAACCAGTAACTTTTGCAATTGATTTCTATTTTGCTTCCAGAAAAAGAAAATAAAATGAAGACCCCTTCTTCTCTCCACCTCCCACTGGTACTCAGAGGCACTGCAAAGATGCTGCAACTGTAGATCTCAACAGCAGTAAATTATATAGCAAACATATGACAGGAAAGCAAGTACGCTGGCAAAAGGCAGACCCCTCTCTGGGACAATACAAAGTGTTTACTGCATCATTCACTGTCTGGGTACTTACAGAAACACATACACATTGCACAAACTGGAAATTTTCCAGAATGACAAACAGGCAAGTCAAACAATACCAGGAGAGGAGTCCATGTGATGCAGTCAGGGATGACAGACCTTTTCAGCACTTGCTTCTTTTAATGCACCGTTGCTCCTCGCCACTGGCACTAGCCTAGATCTTTGTCAGAGTAAAACTAGACCACCCATGACCATTACTCAGTTCCACCAACTTGATCAGAAGTGCACAGCTTTAATAATAATATACATTATCTCCTTAGATGCATCCATAGAGTCGTTGAGTCACTTCCATTACACATGAAAAAAGTACAGTGTTTTATAAAAGTTGTTCACTAAAATTGCTTAGAAAATATAAAAGTTGGCGGCACAGTTGTAGCCTTGCTACATATACCCTTGAAAAAGGGTCAGCAGCCTTTGGAAGATGGCATCTCATTTCTACTTTCCAAATGACAGGGTAAGTATTTTGGCAGGCAGCATTCAGGAACCGGGAGATATTGCATCTCAGAGACAGCTGCTGGTGGTCAACTTCTATGTGTCTTTATTCAGGAACAAGGTTCACACTTCATTCTGACCCTTTAACTCACCAAGAGTGAAAAGCTGCTGATTCTCCAGATGCCACAGTCCCTAGCCGTAAGCTACACAGAGTATAATTCAGAGGCAGTGAAGACCTCCGCATTAAATCATCCAAATGCTGCAACAACCTCTGCAACCTTCTCATTCTCTGAGCAGCTTTCCTTTGTGTTACTGGTTACTGAAGAGTTCAGACGCATCTACCACTTGGCATGAGTAAACGCTTTCAAGACACATGAGCAAATTGCAAGGAAAGTCACAAACACACAAAGGAGAAACAAATCATGTCAGATTATGCTTTGGCATGACCTCCTCCTCACTAAGTGGAAATTCTACCCTCTTCCCCAAACAATTAATGAGGCAAACATTCAGCTGATACAGACTGACAGAGGGCTATTGAATTCAGCCCTGCAAAAAGCACATTCCAAAACCTACTCCCTTTAAAAAAAAGTCACTTTAACACTTCATGACTCTGTTGCCTTTCATTAAAAGTAATTTATTGAAACTCTGGTGACAACTTTACCTTTCAAGTTCACAATCTGAGAAAACTTCAGCTGTTGTATCTTATCAAAGGCTGCATCTACATCATCCAATGTAAAGAGTGTGAAATCTTCAGTATTATGGCGGGACTACAACAAATAAGAAGTATAGAGCATTCAATAACCTGAGCACTCTACCATATCAAAGATGTTGTGTTATGAGACTATCAACTTAAATATACCTGATAGAGATCATACATAAACATCTGTCCCATTTTATATACAGGAATAGTTGCATAAATGGCACAATTCAACCCCATTTTTCCAACTGCATATGGAAGAGCACCAAGGTGTAGAGGGTCAGGATGAGAAAGAAGAACAGCATCAACCTGGTGTACATGTCTACAAAAAGAGGGACAACAGAAGTTGGTGAAAAGATGGTGTCATACTCTTCAAATTATGGGTATTTTTAGAATGCATACACAGTCTGAATGCCAAACAAAAACTTAAATCCCTCCAGGTTGAGAACAAAGCTTTTAAAATTCTAAATTATATATATATTTCCAATTGTTCAAGTACTTAAAAACATAAGTGACTTCTGAAAACATATTTTCAAGGGCTGGAAAACCAAAGTTACACATTAAATCTTGATTAGAAAGACCTTAATATATACCTGGACACCAGAAAGTACACTAACTGAGGGGTCAAAATTATTACCAGTGTAGACATGCTACAAATTGTTTAGACATCTAAAAACCTAAAACGGACAACAACTTTCCTTCTGATGAGAAAGACCATCTAACAGGACCAAAGATACATCAATCCTTAAATTTATAAGGATCAAACCAAAATATTTTTCTTTAGAAACAGAAAATGTCAAATATTATCATTTAAGAAAAGTGGCACGTAATTTTTTGAGGCTTTACTCATTTTAAAAACAAGATTTTTTTTACTGCAAAATGTTGCATAAAATAAGAACTCAGACTAAAAACTCAGTATCTATCATGACTGAAAAACTTCAGGGTGTAAAACCTACGCAACAAGTGAAAACAGAAGTTGAGCTGAAAGCTTTTTATTCCTTCACATAGTAACTGGGGTACACACACACTCTTCTTGATGGCTATTATTAAAAACAGGACTTTATTTAATCTTTTATTTCATTTATTTAATCTCAGATAAAACACTCGTATTTCTTAAGTCATCCTTAGTACATAACAATCCTCACTTAAAAGACTGAAAATTATTATGGTTGGAAAACTACAAGTATGTCAATGCTAGACAAGTGAATCTACAAAAAATAGCATCACAAAGCTTAGCTCTTTTCAGGAATTCCCATGTTTCAGTCCTAACCTTGTAATCAGTGTTTGCATCAGCAAGGCTCCTTGCAGTAAACCTGCAGAAGTTCGGTACCAAAGTCTAGACAGGTTTATTTCTTTGCAGGGCTGGGATAACAGAAGCTATTTTCCTGACTAACAATCTATTCACTTGGAGTCAAGAGGTGAGAACTGAACCACTTGCACTCAGCTGACATACACTACGGGATTCTTTCATTTAAAAAGTAGTTAACTACTCTAAATTAGTTTAGAACCAAGGTCAGTCTCCCATAAACTCCACTCTGTGTCATGCTTATGAAAAAAAATAAATATCCACGCCAAAACAAACACAGAACAGTGAGAATTACAGTCAGCAGATATAACTCATTAGACTCATAAGAAAAAAAAATCAAGTTCTTACTGAAGTGTTTCAGCAGCATAATTCCCTTCATATGAAACTTACTTCCAAAAAAAAAAAAAAAGAATAATTTTGGATTTAACATCACCATACACATATCACTATGGTATTTGAAGACTTTCAGAGAAGGACAAGATCTACTAATTTTTAAAAAAAGGCATTATAAACTACTTACTTCCTCAGAGAGTCAATAACATCCATAGTAAAGTTTTCATCCCAGCCACAGTCCAAAAGAAAACGAAATTCATCTACTTGCAACAGATAGCAAAGGGCAGATTCCTCCTGCACCCCTGAAAGCGTGGTCAACTTGATAATCGATGTCATTTTCCTCTCCAAGTGTTTAACCTCCAAGAGAACTAATCTGAAGGGGGGAAGAAAATGTTTCATTAACTAATCCAAAGGGAAAGTCTATTTATTACGTTCCTGAGAATACACAAGATGGCAGGTTGTGAAAATTGTTCAGGACAGCTAACAGATACCAATTACTACATTTCAGATATTAAATTTTGATGGTTCTAAGTCTTTCGTTATTAGGGCTTTTTTTTTCAGTGTAAAAGAAAGGATCGCAAGGAGCAGTGCAGTTAACACCAGCTCCCACCCGGGCAGGGGGAGGGCACCCAAACACGGCGCACCCAAGGCTACAGCCCCTCAAGGCCGGCGGCTGCCCGAGGCAGGGCCCAGCACAGGCCGGGCCCGGGGCTCC